TAATGCTTCGCTTATTTACAACAGAGAACCAGAAAAAATAATCAATCTTCAAATTGGATTATTAATCACATAGAGTATTCAATCATTCATTCACTGAATGATAAATAACTACAAGTGACGGAGAAACACGATTTAAATAAAGGAAAACCCAATATTTTAAAATTGTATCTAGAATGACCGGAAAGCTGCAAACAAGAACAGCGATAATTAAATCATTATCACAAAATCCAAATCTTTATAAATAAAGGTAATTATAAATTCCCAACCGCGGGGGTGAATGGAATCCGATAAAGAAATCAGTTAATAAGAGAATCCAAAATACTTTGACTGTGTCGCTTAAGTTATATAAGAATTCCCGAGCCCACGAGTTCAGAATACTTAGGTTTTCATTACGCGAAATAGCAAAAACACTTAGAATAAAAAAACAGATTAGATTTGTCACTAAATGAAAAATAAAATGGATATCACTATCATTTTGTATCTTTATTAATTGGATTGCTTGTTTATGGATTCCTATAAGAAATTCTTGTGGGTGTGTCTCCACGTCTTTTTTAACAATTTCGTCGAATAAGAGAAATTCCTCAAATTCAATAAATTTTTCCAGAAGACTCTTTTCATTAATATTATTGAATAAACTTTCGGATTGCCTAGTAGTCCACCAATTAGTAGTCCACGATCCCAGACATTTATTCAATAAGAAATAAATCCACCAGGGCAAAAATACTACAAATGCTAGATATAAAAGAGGAGTCAATATTTTATTTTTATTTTTCATAAACCCATCATATATGAGTTTTTACTTTGACAAGGTATATTCAAAGTATATAAGGTATATTAAAGTATATTAAAGTATGTATTTATTTTTGTTATTATTTTTTGGGCAGTCTTTGTATCTAGAAATAATACAGATGAAATTCAAATATCCAATACAAATCTTTCAACTAAAATAAAAATAAACAAATTACTCAATGTTCAGATATTTAAAATGAAACATGAAGCAATAGAATACTTAAACTTTTAAACTTTATAGGGGATTTTGCTTGTGCTAATAAAAAACTGCCTGGTGAATTGGCTAATTAGGATTCCTGAGTCTTAGTAAAAAATGCAATTGGAAAAATAATAAAAATAGAAAAAAATTAACTGAAAAGAGGTGTAACCCCCTTCTCAAAATACTTCAATTGGTACACGCAAAAAAATAGGCCAATTCGGCAGCTTTTTTTTCAATTTCCTACCGGGGTGAAATTCTCATTAGTACGAGTCAAAGGAATAGCCCTCTGGCCTCGGATGTCCATATAAAGGACACGACGAGGATAAATCCCTTCTTTCATTTCTATTCGAATAGACCTTATATCTTTTATATTGAATCGGAGGAAAATGCGACGATTTATTCCAGGGAATCCCCAACGAAAAATAAAAAATATTCCCCTTTTTCTATCGAATTGATCATAACCACTACCGACATTCCATAAAATAGTACACCCACAAATACGAGCTAATACAAAGACCCGCAATTCCGGTAGAATGCCATGACTATTCCTTGTGGGAAAAAAAGAATTTGCTGGGCTGGAAAAAATGATATCCAATTTATACCAAGATAACTGGAAGTTCCTACTAATAAGAATCCCAATGAACCTAAAAAAAGGATAAAAGCCCAACCAAAATTACTTATTTTTCTAGACCCAGGTTTAAGTTCGATCCATATATTTTCTGATTGCCAACTCATATTACATCCGATTTTATTTTATTGGAATTAAGAAGAAAACCATTCATTTGGAACTTTGCTATTTAAAAAGTAATTCTCATCAAACAAATAATAGTTTGATGAGAACTAGCACTAGTTTGATGTAAACCTTTAGGGGTAATTCATCAACTTGGTTAGATCTAAAATAATAACGCCTTAAGTAAATACGATTTCACAGCTCTTCCTGTTATGATACAACAAAAGGGCAACTTACAAAAAAGGGAGGACCTCACTATATAAAATATCTAAAAACTATTAGTTTTCTTGAACAGTAATAAATAAATAAAACGTTGCAATTGCCGGCAATACTAAGCCTACTAATGGTATAAAAATAGAGGGAAAGTCACTCATATAAAAGTTATCTTTTTTTACTCTACTATATTGTATCTGTGAGTTTTTCTCTAACTATTTTTATCAATCTAAAATCAATATAAAATAAAGTTCAAATTCATTTGAACTCTGAGTGAAAGAAAGTGCCCCGGTCATGAAACGTAAATAACTCACTAATAACGCTTTTTAGAAGATGACGTGGTACAATTAAGTCAAATGAACCCTTCTCAAATAAAAATTCAGCTTCTTGTGCCTCATCAGGTATGGTTTGTTTTAATGTTTCTTCAATTACTCTTTTGCCTGCAAATGCAATGTAAGCATTAGGTTCGACAATGATAATATCCCCTAACATACCGAAACTCGCTGTTATTCCACCAGTTGTAGGAGATGTAAGGATTGATATATAAAATAATCTTTTATTTGATTGATAATTATATAAAAGCAGATGATATTTTAGCCATTTGCATCAAACTTAAACTTCCTTCTTGCATTCGCGCACCTCCGGAAGCCGACACTATAATCAGAGGTAAAAAGTTTTTTGTAGCGTACTCAATTAAACGGGTTATTTTCTCTCCGACTACGGATCCCATACTACCCCCCATAAACTTAAAATCCATAACACCTATTGCTACAGTAATACCGTTGATTTGCCCTAGACCTGTTTGAACAGCTTCGGTTAAGCCTGTTTTTATTTGATAAAAATCAAGATTCTCTTCATAAGAGTTTTCTTTCCATGGAATATTAAATGGAATCGGGTTCTCAGAAAGAATTTCTTCAGAAGAGTCTTCTTTCACTTCTTTCAATGGAATATCAAACGGAATCGGGTCCTCAGAAATCCTTTCTTTAGAAGAGTCTTCTTTCAATAGAATTCCACATTGAATGAGGCACTCAGAAATCATTTCTTTAGAAGAGTCTTCTTTTATTTTGTCCAATATAATTCCACATTGAAGGAGGCACTCAGAAATCATTTGTTTAGAAGAGTCTTCATCAAATGGAATATCAAATTGAATCGGATCCCCAGAAAGAATTTCTTCATCGATAGGAACCCACGTTTTCTCATCGATCAAAAAATCAATTCTATCTGAACTACTCAGTTGCAAATAATCTCCACATTCTTCACAAATATAATGTTTTGATTTAATGAATTTTTTATAATATATTTGATAACAATTATCACATAGAATCCACAAATGGTTAAATTCAGGATATTTTATCCCAATTTCCTCTACGTTAATTTGTCTACTCGAACTCTCGACTTCGCTCCTATTGCAGCTTTCACCATAAACAATGGACTCATTACTGGAACTGTCAGTAACACTCTCATTTTCATTATTAGTGATAGTAGTTGGATCTATTTGTAACTTCATAGAATTATAAATGGACTCAGCAATATCAATCTGAGAGTTATATTCGTTACTCACTTCATTCATTTGAGTGGGATTGCTTGAATTCGAATAAAGATAAAAAGGTTCACTAAAGAAAGAGTGAGCATTATTTGTTTCAAAAATATAATTTTCAATATTAAAAATATTAAAATAGATGCAATAATTATTTCCAGTACTATCGCTAACTAGAAAAGTGTCATCAAAGATGACACTTTCACTATAGTTTAACTCGAAGACAGAATCAACATTACTGCAACTGGAATTGTCACGATCCTCCCAAGTCTGAATGTTTTCAAACATCTCTTGCTTCTTCGTATCTTCATTTTGCCTGCTATTTTCTTCAATAGGACGGTTAACACCATCCATTGATTTAGTTAGGTCCGATCCACGTTCAAATTTCTTATCCAATGAATTATCCCCCCACATTTCCATAATTATTGCCCCTTGTTTTTTGCATGAAAATACAATAGAAAATACACAATAGCAATAGATGGAATAGTCGTTTTATATAACTCTACCTCAATTACCAAGTTTAACTATTTGTTCTCGTCTACCTATACCCAAACCAAATCTAAATAATAAGCTCATTAATATGGATAGATATCCGACGGCTCAATCTGTTTACTTTTTTTAGTATTTGAATGATTTTAGTAAAAGATTGGGCCAAATTGAATTGCAATTCAGAAGAGAAGGGGGTTAGTGATTGCTTAAATTCCCTCTACCCATCCCTTATCTCCGAATTAAGTTATAAGTTATCTCTATTTATCTCCTGCAAGAGCCTCCTTATTATCTCTTTCTTTCTTCTCATTTGGATCCAAGGTATCCACTGGTTTAAAGTCAAATTGAATCTCCTTCCATACCTCACAAGCAGCAGCTAGTTCAGGGCTCCATTTACTAGCCTGTCGAAGAATTTCATTACCTTCCTGAGCAAGATCATGCCCTTCGTTACGAGCTTGTACACATGCTTCTAGAGCGACTCGATTCGCTACGGCACCAGGCGCATTACCCCAAGGGTGACCTAAAGTTCCTCCCCCAAACTGTAGTACGGAATCATCCCCAAATATCTCAGTTAGAGCAGGCATATGCCAAACGTGAATACCCCCAGAAGCCACAGGCATAACACCGGGTAAAGAAACCCAATCTTGAGTGAAATAAATACCACGACTTCGGTCTTGTTCAACAAAATCATCGCGTAATAAGTCAACAAAGCCCAAAGTCATCTCTCTTTCCCCTTCTAGTTTACCTACTACAGTACCCGCGTGAATATGATCTCCACCGGATAGCCGTAACGCTTTCGCTAGTACGCGGAAGTGTATACCATGAGTTTTTTTGTCTATCAATAACTGCATGCATTGCACGGTGGATGTGAAGAAGGAGACCATTATCACGGCAATAATGAGCCAAAGAAGTATTTGCAGTGAATCCCCCTGTTAAGTAGTCATGCATTATAATAGGAACTCCCAATTCTTTAGCAAAGAAAGCTCTTTTTAGCATTTCTTCGCATGTACCTGCAGTAACATTCAAGTAATGTCCTTTTATTTCACCTGTTTCAGCCTGTGATTTATAAATTGCTTCGGCACAAAATAAAAAACGGTCTCTCCAACGCATAAAGGGTTGTGAGTTTACATTCTCATCATCTTTGGTAAAATCAAGTCCACCACGAAGACATTCATAAACCGCTCGACCGTAGTTTTTAGCGGATAACCCCAATTTGGGTTTAATAGTACATCCCAGCAGAGGACGCCCATACTTGTTCAATTTATCTCTCTCAACTTGGATGCCGTGAGGCGGACCTTGAAAAGTTTTAGTATAAGCTGGAGGTATTCTAAGATCTTCGAGACGTAAAGCGCGGAGTGCTTTAAACCCAAATACATTACCTACAATCGAAGTAAACATATTCGTAACAGAACCTTCTTCAAAAAGGTCTAAAGGGTAAGCTACATAAGCAATATATTGATCTTTTTCTCCAATAACACGCTCAATGCGATAGCATCGGCCCTTGTACCGATCAAGGCTGGTAAGTCCATCGGTCCACACGGTTGTCCATGTTCCAGTAGAAGATTCCGCAGCTACCGCGGCCCCCGCTTCTTCAGGGGGAACTCCGGGCTGAGGAGTGACTCGAAATGCTGCCAAGATATCAGTATCTTTGGTTTCGTAATGAGGAGTATAATAAGTCAATTTGTAATCTTTCACACCGGCTTTGAATCCAACACGTGCTTTAGTCTCTGTTTGTGGTGACATATATTCCTCCTTATAACTCATAAATTCATAATTCTGACAACAAAACGATCTACTCGACCTAAATTATGCGTGAATTTTGCTTTTGGTCGGAATCGTTCACAAAATTCCCCCCGAGTACTCAATATTATCTATTATCAACTAAATCCTAATTTTTTATTTTTAAACTAAAAGCATTTGAGTCATTTTTCAAATGCATCAATATTGTATACTCTTTTGTATATCTAGTGCAACCCAGTTTTTCAATTTCACTTTTTTTACACTACCTCTCTAACTTAATAAAAAAATTAAAAAAACTAATGGGATAGAAATAAAAAATTCTAATGAAATACTTTCCCAATATTTTTATTCCTCCACTTTAAAATGATTTACCTATTTTAGTTCCTTCATTCGACAAAAATTAAATTGATTGGATACTGGATAATATCTGGATAATATAAAAAAAGACAGCGAGAATCCCCCCTTTTTTCTTATTACATTTATTGAATTAATCTTGCGCTTGCGGACAGTTATTTGTAATTTGAAAAGTTTTGTAAATTTTTTTTTTATGGGAAGCACTCCTACGACTTATGGTTCTGAGGTTTCCTCAATTGAAAAAAAAAATATAGGACATATCGTCCAAATAATTGGTCCGGTACTAGATGTAGCTTTTCGCCCTGGCAAGATGCCTTATATTTATAATGCTCTAGTAGTTCAAGGGCAAGCCAGTAAACAAATGAACGTGACTTGTGAGGTTCAGCAATTATTGGGAAATAATCGAGTTCGAGCTGTAGCTATGAGTGATACAGATGGTCTAATGAGAGGGATGGAAGTGATTGATACGGGAGCTCCTATAAGTGTCCCGGTCGGTGGATCAACTCTGGGACGAATTTTCAACGTGCTCGGAGAACCTGTTGATAATTTAGGGCCTGTCGATACTAATAAAAAATCTCCTATTCATAGATCTGCGCCCGCCTTTATACAGTTAGATACAAAATTATCGATTTTTGAAACAGGAATTAAAGTAGTAGATCTTTTAGCCCCCTATCGCTGTGGAGGAAAAATCGGACTATTCGGGGGAGCTGGAGTGGGGAAAACAGTACTCATTATGGAATTAATTAACAATATTGCCAAAGCGCACGGAGGAGTATCCGTATTTGGCGGAGTGGGTGAACGTACTCGCGAAGGAAATGATCTTTATGTGGAAATGAAAGAATCCGGAGTAATTAATGACCAAAATATTGCAGAATCAAAAGTGGCCCTAGTTTACGGTCAGATGAATGAACCACCAGGAGCTCGTATGAGAGTTGGTTTGACTGCCCTAACTATGGCGGAATATTTCCGAGATGTTAATGGGCAAGATGTACTTCTATTTATTGATAATATATTTCGTTTCGTTCAAGCGGGATCAGAAGTATCCGCCTTACTGGGTAGAATGCCTTCTGCTGTAGGTTATCAACCGACCTTGAGTACAGAAATGGGTTCTTTGCAAGAAAGAATTACTTCCACCAAAGAGGGTTCCATAACCTCGATACAAGCAGTTTATGTACCTGCAGATGATTTGACTGATCCTGCCCCTGCTACGACATTTGCACATTTAGATGCAACTACCGTACTCTCAAGAGGTTTAGCTGCTAAAGGTATCTATCCAGCAGTTGATCCTTTAGATTCAACGTCAATGATGCTGCAACCTCGGATCGTTGGTGAGGAACATTATGAAACTGCGCAACGAGTCAAGCAAACTTTACAACGTTATAAAGAACTTCAGGACATTATAGCTATTCTTGGGCTCGACGAATTATCCGAAGAAGATCGTTTAAACGTGGCAAGAGCGCGAAAAATTGAGCGTTTCTTATCACAACCTTTTTTCGTAGCAGAAATATTTACCGGTTCTCCAGGTAAATATGTAGGTCTCGCTGAAACAATTAGAGGATTTCTTTTAATCCTTGCTGGCGAATTAGATGGTCTTCCTGAACAGGCTTTTTATTTGGTAGGGAATATCAATGAAGTTACCGCGAAGGCAATTCACTTAAAAAAGTAGAAATTTAAAAATAGGGAAGGATTTGAATAAATGACTTTAAAACTTTGTGTACTGACCCCTAATAGAATTGTTTGGGATTCAGATGTGGAAGAAATCATTTTATCCACTAATAGTGGGCAAATTGGAATATTACCCAATCACACACCTATTGCCACAGCTGTAGATATAGGTATTTTGAAAATACGCCTTAACGGCCAATGGTTAACGACGGCACTGATGGGGGGGTTTGCTCGAATAGCGAATAATGAAATCACTGTTTTGGTAAATGATGCTGAAAAAGGTAGTGAGATTGATCCCCAAGAAGCTCAGCAAACTCTTAAAATAGCAAAAGATATTTTAAAAAAAGCTGGAGGAAAGAGACAAAAAATTGAGGCAAATCTAGCTCTACGCCGAGCTCAAACACGGATAAAGGCGATCCATAATATTTCCTAAAAAGCCGCTCTTTTAAAAATACATGAATCTATATTCAAAAGGATAGGTCACAAACTTATTAGATATCTCAGTGGATGGTATCTAATAAGTTGTTCTACCTACTATTGGATTTGAACCAATGACTCCCGCCGTATGAAAGCAGTACTCTAAACCGCTGAGTTAAGTAGATATTTTTATATGCTTCAGAAAATACAATAAAATCCCGCCCATCAATAGAAATTCAATGTATTATAAATATTCTATTCCGAATAAGGAATGTCACTCAAACTTTTCAAATATTTTGGTTTGGATATTTTTATATTTTTCATATAATATACATAGATAATATAAATAGATAATAAGTATAATCACTAATCATTAATCATTCATTAATATAATAATCATAATAATGTGAATTAATCTTGACAATAAATTATTTACATCACAAAATCGTAACTACTAAAGGAAATAAATTTTGAAAAGAATTTTTTTTTTTATTTTTTTAGAAAGGAAGCAAAATTTTGATTAAGATAGTTGTAAGTTCCGATGTGAGTCAATTGCTACTATGATTTCAAAAAGCGATTTTCCATATGGAAAAGCCAGCTATCGGAATCGAACCGATGACCATCGCATTACAAATGCGATGCTCTAACCCCTGAGCTAAGCAGGCCGAACTTGAATATACACGATAATTCAATAAAAAAAAAAGAAAAAAACGTGGGAAGATTTCATTCTTATTTAGAATGAGTAAACAAAAAAGAAATTTATTTGAATCTTTGAATGTACTTTATTTTTTAGCTAGCTAAAAAATAAAAGAAGAGAAAAAACTCTCTGATGAATGCTAATGAATGGAATGTTTGAAGCTAAATGAAATAAATGAGTACACGAGATGCCTCCCCATACGGGGGATCAACATAAAAAAAGGGGATATGGCGAAATTGGTAGACGCTACGGACTTAATTAGATTGGGCCTTGGTATAGAAACTTACTAAGTGATGACTTTCAAATTCAGGGGAACCCTGGAATTAATAAAAGGGGCAATCCTGATCCAAATCCTTTTGAAAAAACTTAAAGGATAGGTGCAGAGACTCAACGGAAGCTATTCTAACAAAGGGATTTGACTAAACTAACTACTTTAATATTCATTGAATTTATTGAATCATTAATTCCATAATAGATTCTGAAATTTCGATTTTACGAACCAAACTTCTGAATGGGACAAGAATAAAGAGAGAGTCCTTTTCTACATGTAAATACATACAAAAATGAAAGTTTTAGTAAGAGGAAAATCCGTCGACTTTAAAAATCGTGAGGGTTCAAGTCCCTCTATCCCCAAAAACCTAGTAGATTCCTATCCTTATCCCCTCCCTTTGTCTTTTTAGTGGTGGTTTTTTGTGGTTGTTTAAAGTGAAAACTAAAGTCTAAAGGTCCTTTTATTATTTTATTATAAGTTCTAATAAGTCTTATTCCTGTGAGCGATTTGAATACTTGAATTCAAAAGTAACATATTTGAGTTTTGAAGTGAAAATAAAACTCAATTTTAGGACTTTTCTAAAAGTTTGTAATCCGCTTTTTATCTTTTCATTGCATTGATATTGATATAGAATTGTAGAATGTAGAATTGATATAGATATAGATATATATCCCACGACCTAATCAAATGAGTATCTATCTTGGGAATGGGTCGGGATAGCTCAGCTGGTAGAGCAGAGGACTGAAAATCCTCGTGTCACCAGTTCAAATCTGGTTCCTGGCATACGATTTCTTTATCTATCAAATATC